GCCATCATGTTACACAAGCCCCTGAATCTCGCTCTTGCTGACGATGCCAAATTCTCCTTGGGTTTAATTGGCAGAATTTTTGAAGCACTGTTTGCTCCCCAGGCTCCTCTGGGGCACAAATGTGGTAGATGCAGATGGTGTATATGGAAACCTAGACTTCAACTCAATTTAACAAGCATGTATTAGACAGCCAGGTGGTGCAGTAGTTAGAGTTCTAGACTTGGAGTCAGGAAGAGCTGAGTTTCGATCCTGCCTCAGACTTTTACTGGCCACTTAACCTCCACCTGCCTCAGTTTCTTCATCTTTGAAATGGGAATAATAATTGTACCCACACACACACACCCCACACCCCCCCTTCCAGGATTGTTCAAATGAGAGAACATTCATTCAAGTGCTCTATAAATGCTAGCTATTGAGCACCTGCTGTATGCGAGAAACTGCTGTAGGCACTGGAGATGCAGAGATGAAACAGGAACCGTCGCTGCTTACATCCTACTGGGGGAAAACAACATATACACAGATAAGTAAGGACAAAACATAGACAAGGTCATTCCTAAAGGGACCTTAAGAGATCATCTCATCCAGCCCCTTCGTGTTACCGAGGAAGAAATCAAAGGCCAGAGAGGATGGGGGATTTACCTAGAGTCAGGTGTCAGATCCAGGACCCAAACCCAGGTCTTCGGATGCTTGTGCTTTTTTCTGAATCTCTCTGGCAATCTGGTTCTTGAATGATTTATGAAGCCAAAAATAACATTTCCATCAAAGATACATATTGTTTTTTCAACTTTGCACCTTGATCCTGAAGCCAGAAATTCTCCCAACTTTCAGCCTCCCCTCCCCAAGAGCCTCCCCCTCCTTCCAAGGTCATTCTTCATGAATGACAGCCAGTTAGTTAAACGCTCTTAGGTTTCCATGGCAACAAACCCAACTTATATTCAGTCCCACTGAAAATAATAAAGCCTGATCTGGATTTATTTTCCCTGGTTCCCCCACTCACTATCCCCACAGTCACCATTTTTTTTTTCCTGGTGCAAAGAGAACACCTCAGATGGAGATATTAACCCTGTCTTTACCACCACTTCCAAAACACTTTGCTTCAAAAAGAGGTCTGCCACATGCAAGTAGGAGGGATTGAACGATCTCCATATCCTGGAATCTGAAGTAGAAGAGACCTTAAAGCTGGTCTAGACTAATTCCTTCTTTTGACAGATGAGAAACTAAGACTGAGGAAAGGAGAGTGACTTGCCCAAGGTCACGCAGCTAATGACTGACAAACTGGATATTTGAACTGAAGTCCTCCCAACTGCAAATCCAGAAAATCTGATATGATGTAAAGGAAAAAAACCTAAAGTCCCAGCCTTGTGACACATTGTTGGACCTGAAAGGGACCATTGAAATCCTTTGAGTCTAACCCCCCATCTTACCAGCTGTATGACCTTTATCAAAGCACATGACTTCTCTGAAGGTTCAGTTTCCCCAATATAAAATGAGCATCCTGCCCACTTTGGAGTTTTTGTGAAGTTCCAATGGGCTTCATAACCACAAAGCACCATATTAATGCAAGTTAGGTAATAACCATACTTTGTATCCCAGGTACCTTGCATAGTACCAACATCTAGTAGGTGCCTAATAAATGTCTGCTTTTTGTTTGCACAATGATCTAGTAATTGATGATTTCATAAGTATTAATCCTCTTTGGGGCAGCTAGGTGACACAGTGGGTAGAGTGCTGGACCTGGAGTCAGGAGGACCTGAGTTCAAATCCAACCTCAGACACACAGGGTCACTGTGTGACCCTGGGCAAATCACTGAGCCCTGTTTGCCTCAGGTTCTTCATCTATAAAATGAGTTGGAGAAGGAAATGGCAAACCACTCCAGTATCTTTGCCAAGAAAACCCTAAAGAGGATCGCAAAGAGCCAGCCACAACTGAAATGGCTGAACAATAACAACAAAATGTCTGTAACTTAGCAGCAGCCTTAGAACCCTGCTGTGACCCAGAAAATCATCACCCTGTAGCCAACCTGGAGATAAGCCTCTTGTCACTTAGCTAACGATAGAAGCTGACATTTCTGTCATGTTTTACCTACATTATTTCATGTGAGCCTTATAAAAAACCCTTGGAGACAGGTGCTATTATTATCTCCATTTTATAGATGATGAAACTGAGGTTCAGTAAGGGTAAGTGATTTGCCCAGGGGCAGAAGTAGAACCTATGTCTCCCTGACACCAAGTCCCACAATCTCTCCATGTTGCTACAGTACCTCTTCCACAATAGACCAACACACCATCTATTCCAGGACCATACTTAAACCAACAAATCAAGTTAACAAGAATTCATTAAATACCTACTAGGTACTACTAAGAGCTGAGGACACAAAGAAAGGCAAACAAACAGCCCTTACTGTCCAGGAGCTCACAATCTAATGGAGGAGACAATATGTAAGAAATATTAGATGAGAAAAGGTATACTGACTTCTCAATACAAGCTAAATTGGGGAGGGGGGCAGCTAGGTGGCATATTTGATAGAGCACCGGCCCTGGAGTCAGGAGGAACTGAGTTCAAATGCAGCCTGAGATACTTACTAGCTGTGTGACCTTGGGCAAGTCACTTAACCCTGATTGCCTCCAAAAAAAAAAGAAAAGAAAAGAATCAAAGGATAAAGAGAGAGGAATGCTGATGATCTGGAGAGAAAAGCAGCTGGCAAAAATGGCTTAAGAACTGCCCCTCAACCAGGAGAAGTTCTGCAGCAGATTTGTACCAGCTTTTCAAGGTTCTGGTCTCAATTATGCCACAACCAAGCTTTGGTACTGAGCAAATCCCTTCAATCAGTCAGTCAACTAACAAGAATTTATTAAGTCCCTACTATATGCCCTGTATATGTTAGGTGCTAGGGATACAGAAATGAAAATGAAATAGTCCCTGTCCTCAGAGAGTTTATATTCTAACAAGAGACATAACATTTATGTATAGAAACATGCATATATTATATTTATATATAGTACATATTTTCATGTAAAATAGATACAAGGCAATTTTATAAGGAAGGCATTTGCAGCCAGGGAGATCAGGAGAGGCTTCATGTAATAGTAATGATAGTAATAATAGCATTCACGTAGCACTATGAAGTTTGCAAAATGCCTAATAAATATTATCTCATTTGATCCTAACAACAAATCTAGCAGGTAGGTGCTATTATTATCCCCATTTTACAGATGAGAAAATTGAGGCAGATAGAGGCAAAGCAACTTGCCAGGGTAACACAGCTAGTAGATGTCTGAGGTGGGATTTGCACTCAGGTCTAACTTAAACTACGCCTTAAAGGAGACCAGACCTTCTATGAGGTGGAATTGAGATGGTTATGCATTCCAGCCATGGGGAATAGCCAGTCCAAAGATCCAGAGACAGAAAATGGAGCATCGTCTATGAGGAACAGAAAGAAAGTCAGTTTGACAGAACCATAGAGTGTGTGAAGCGGAGTGAGGTGTAGTAAGATTGAGAAGGTAAACTGAGAGGATTGGCCTCTCGGGCCCTAGGACTAGCTCTCAAGGCACTGTCCAAGGTCCTCCACCAAGATCCCGTGTTCTAAGCTCCCCTTGAGCTCGAAAGAGCCGTGTCATTACCACTGTATGTTCTAAGGTCCCATCCAGCTCACCCATTCTGTCTTAAGGATTCACCCAGTTCTAACATTCCATTATCGAAGTCCTCTTCACCACTAATGTTCTGTGATAGCATTTTCTGTTCAAAGGCCCCTTCTATTTCTATTAGTCTGAGTATATTCATCCTGTATCTGATTTATTGAAACTTTATGTCGCACCACCCTGACCTGAAGTTCCCTTGGCCCTTCCTTTTGCCATCTTTCAAGGTCAATTTCATCAACATCATTGTTGTTGTCATTGTCTCCATCCTCCTTTTCCTCCTCCTCTTCTTCCTCTTCCTCCTCTTTCTCTTCCTCCTCCTCCATGCCTTCTCTGATGATTCCTTCCAAGTCATTCTTCTCCCTCCCTTCTTAGCTCCAAAAGCACTTGCAATTTGTACCCTACATTGAGTTATTCATTCCGTGTGAATGTTATTCCCTAGTTATTCAATGTGTGTTTGTGTGTGTGTATGTGTGTGTGTGTGTGTGTGTGTGTCTTGCTCCCCTCATCTAGACTGTAAGTTCTTCAGGGCAGGGACAATTTCATCCCCTCTTGTATCTCAGACCAGTCAAGGACAGGGCTATGCTCATAGGACATGCAGACAATATCAGAGCTGAAAAGGTATCTTAGAACTATAGGATAGTTCCATAGAATGCTTGAACGTGGAACATCAGGCCTAGAAGGAATCTTAGGACACAAATGTTAGTGATGTAAGAATATACAGTGGATAGGAAGGATAGTTTAGGACAGAAAGACCTGAGTTCAAATCCAGCCTCAGACACATAATAGCTATGTGACCCTGGACAAGTCACTTAACCTCTGTTTGCCCCAGTTTCTTCATCTGTTTTTGTTGTTTGGTTATTTCAGTCATGTCCAACTCTTCCTGACCCCATTTGGAGTTTTCTTGGCAAAGATATTGGAGTGGTTTGTCATTTCTTTCTCCAACTCATTTTTCAGATGAGGGTCACACCGCTTGAAAGTATCTGAGGCTATACTTGAACTCAGGTCCTCCTGACTCCAGGCCTGGTGCTCTATCCACTGTGCCACCTAGCTGCCTTTCATCATCTGTAAAATAGGCATAATACCCTCCAAGGCTGTTGTGAGGATCAAATGAAAAAATATTTGTAAAGCACTTAGTACAGTGTCTGACTCATAGTAGGCACTATGTAAATTTTTGGTATTATGATTATTATGCTAGAACACAGGAATGTTGACTGGAAGAGATTTAAGGGCATAGAATGTCAGCAGCAAGTACCTTTGAGCTTTAAGTGGGAAAATATAAAAAACAATGTTTTGGGAAGTGGAGGGGCCCTTATCCAAGACCTAGGCCTTAGAAGTCTCTTTCCCTCTCTCTCTTTTTTCAGCTATGAGGAATGTGTGGGACCAGGGTCAACTCAAATCTACATCCCCACTGAAGACCCTCCACCATACTCACTAAATGACCCTTGCCGGGACAGGGATGTCTCCATCCAGATCAGCGCGGCAGAGTTGAGGGATGAGGAAGAAGATGGGGCTTCTTTGCCTGTGGCCGAGAGGGATGCTGGCTGTTCCATCAGATCTCCCCAAGGACAAGCAGCCATCTCCACTATTGCCCTAGAAACTGTGCCACCCTATGAAACTGTAGTGCATGACCCTAATGTGTTCCTTCCTCTTCAGAGTCTGAAAAGCTCCCCAGCTGAGTACCAGACCCTTCTCAACAGGACTGTGTAACCAGGGGAGGCCTTTGCTAACCCACTTCAGAGGGGAGGGCCTGACTAGCTGCAAACACACGTACACACATGCAGAGAAAAACAGTAACAACAACACAAAACCCACGAGGTTGGGGGCAGTGTCATTCAATAATAGAATGAACCTCTCACTACCAGCCCAACGTACAAAACTCCCTTCTGTTCCCTGTCCCTTTCAGGACCTGGGACATGCAGGGCATTAGCTCTTTTCTTCCAGCCCCTTCCTCTCCCTGCATTTTCCCAGCAGGTTCTCAAAGTTTGTGTAACCTGGGTGGTCAGAGTCTGATTTCTGCATTGGGAATTCTTCCCTAAACTGCTAACAGCCTCTGCTCAGGCAGCCCTTAGGTCATTTCTGCCGTACTCCATGCCCCCTTCACTCTCTGCCCCCACCCCCGTCCTCTCCTCAGAGAGACGCAAGCTGGTTGATCTGAGAGTGCTAGCATGGGCCAGAGGTCAGGGGAAATAGACAGGTGTTGTCAACAGCGGCTTGTGCTACCAATGGAAAAAAAATTCTCCCTTCCAAATGAGATTTTAAAATGAATTTGAAGAGGCAATAGAGTGGTATCCACCACCCACAACACTCGACTTGAGCAGGAGCCCAATGGTAGGCACCCTCAGTCCCTCCAAACCAATGGCTAGAACTTGGATTGGAACTTATCCTTCTCAGGCCATCCACACAGCTCTAAGGTTGGCTGGCCTGGACCAGAAGAACCCAAGTAAGCCATGCTATCAAATCATTCCCAGAAGGCCCACCTTGTGAGCCTGAGCTTATTTAAAGGGCAGCAGCCCCTCACAGAGCTAAACCCCATGGCCTTGATTTTCTGGCATTCATATCCTCTGTCAGACAGCCTCTCCACAGGTTTGAACTAATGGGTCCAATGGACAATGCCCTGATAAGAGAGTGAGAGTTGTCTTGGCCTGGTGGTGTGTCCTGGGCCCAATCACTTCTCAATATTCGATGAGTGGTTTCCCTGTTAGTTCAATTAAGCAAACACCAATTGTATACAGACCCCTATGCTGGGAATCAGGGGACATAATAAAGTTTATATAAGACATGGTCTATGTCCTTGTGGAGCTCTAGTCTAGAGAAACTTGCCAACTAATGCTTCAACCAGAGAGAAAAGAGTCTCTTGGCCTAGAGATGGGTTGGGCTGCATATACAAGCCTAACTTCAGTGGGTCTGTGGCTGCAAATTTTCCCAGAGAAGTTGATGGGCTTAAATCTTCCCCCTCACCCCCAACCCAAGCACATTTAGTTAACACATGGATGACAGGCCAGACAACTTTGGCTTTAAATCTCCTAGGAAGGATGAGAGAAAGACATAGTCCAGAAAAGAGGGCTGGAAACTCAGTGGGGGATCAGCCCCAGAATTCTTCAGCCGTTGGAACCCCTTACATAAGATGAGAAACCTTTCCTCTGATCAGCAGCATGAGAACATTCAGGCGGGATCCAGATAGCCAGACCAGAGGACAGACAGAGGCTAAGGAAGGAGATCTGTCTCAGGAGGGCAAGGAGGTGCCAGTTGGCTCTATCAGAGCCACAGACTTTTCTGAACATGGGTGTGGGGACAAAATGGAGTTGTGTTGGAAACCTCCAACACTTCCCTCCACTGGAGGGAGCTTTGGGTATTGGACAACCACCCACATTGGCCCTGCTGCTGCCAGGAGCCATTGTTCCGGAGCTGGCCTTGAAAAAGGCAACATGAAACAACCCAGAAGTTCCGTTTTACCCACCCAATCATCAACCCCATCTCCTAACCCTCCTTCTGCTTCTCCCCAAACCCAGGGCCTTTACTCTAAAAGCAGAGTGGTGTTTTCCAAAGAACATGGGAGTTGGAGTCGGAAGACCTGAAGCTGAATCCCTGTTCTTCAATCTACTACCTGTGTGACCTTGGACAAGTCACAACCTTTCTGGAAACATTCAGTTTCCTCATCTGTACAATAAGGGGGTTGGGCTAGATGATCTCCGTGGTCCCTGCCAACTCTCAATCCCCTAATCTTAGGTCCCTGTGTCCCTTTTTTAAAATACCAGGATTTTCATCCTGTTTCTTGCTTCCCCCCACCTACTTCCCCTGCCCCCATTAAACTTTCCGAATCCAGTGAAGGGCTATGACTTTTCTTCAATCACTTTTTAAGGAGCTGGGGGCCAGGAAGGGGGAGAAAAAAAAATGAAGATTTTATATTTTACTCTATGTAAAATTAGAATTTCTCCCAGTGCTATTCACTGCTTTTCAAAGGCTCTCTTTAGCTCTGTTTCCGCCTTGATGTTCTAATTCATTCTGTGGATACTAGGGATTGTTTACAAACAGCTATCTGTTCACTTTGGTGGTTTTACTGTTTTATAGGGGGAAATATATCTATCTTCTCTCTCTGTCGTACTGTATAGATTTTCTACATGCACTGCAGGGCCTTGAGTCTCCTAAGAAACCTGTCCTCCTTCCACACCGTAGCAAGCTTGGGTAACCAACCAAAAAACTTTCAGGACACATCAGCTTTTGCAGCTGGCTACAGAGACGGAGCGGGACATGTTTTCTTTCTTGGGCTGGGCTCTGAATTGAGCAACAATATATTCTTTCTTTGTTCCGAATAAATAACCAACAATGTAGCACTTGTAGACATAACTTAGTAATCGAGTGCACAGCTGGGCTTTTCTTTCCTTATTGAAACTTGTAAGGAAAGGAAACAGCAAAAACAGCAGCTGATTCAAATGCCTTGATTTAGCAAATAATGTTTTAACCCAGCAAGCCTTCACCTGAATGTTTCTGAAAATTAGAATCTGTAAGCAGTACAAAGTGTTTTATTGTTCACACAGGATGATTTTGCAGCTGGTTACATGCTGTAAATGACTTGCTGGGATGACTTTTTTTTTTTAAATCTCATCTGAAACCTGGTATCATTTTTTTTTGAGACTACGGCAAATGTATGGGTCCCTGAGACAAGTGACGATCTTTAGCCCTGTTCCAGCAATACTGACTGGGTCCAGGAGCTTCAGGGGACCATACATTTTTAAAAGAATAGTCGTTACTCAACTTTCAGGTCATACTGGTTTTTACCACCAGGAAGACGTGTATCCAGAGTTGACTGTAGAGCTGTTTTTAATTACACAATAAAGAACTATTTCACACTTCGTCCAGACCAATGTTATACTGCACTCTACGGGGGACCATTGCCTAGAAAGGAGATTCCAATAGAGGCAACCTGGTTTCTGTACCTCTGTACAATCCTCCCTGGTGACCTCCCTTCCCATCCACACCTAGGCTGTCCAGCTCCCAGCCCTGAATGGAGTTAGGTTCTTTAAGACAGTGTCCTTGCCAAACTCCCCCACCCCCATCCAACTACCCCCAAGCTAGTCTGAATCTTAGTAGCAGGGCTCTGACCTTCCCAAGGCGTGAGGGAATGGGTAACAATGGAGCCAAGTGAATTGCCAATCAGAGGGGAGCCCAACTTAGGTACATTAGTTGCCCAAGGGATGCATGTCAATGACTGCAATTGCTATGGGATGGTACAAAAGGGGAGACCTGGGTTCTGATTCTGCCTCTTACCCTTACTACTTTCTGCAAGTCATTTAGCCTCCCTAGGCCTCAGTTTCCTCAAGCGGGAAATGAAGGAGTCAGACTAGATAGTCTCTTAGGTCCCCTTGAGTTCTTGATCTGTGATCTTATATCCATTAGATTACTCAAAGGATGGGATAAAGGGTGGGTAGGTGGCACAGTGCTGGCCCTGGAGTCAGGAGGACCTGAGTCCTCAGACACTTATTAGCTGTGCAACCCTGAACAAGTAACTTAACCCTGTTTGCCTCAGTTTCCTCATCTGTAAAATGAGCTGGAGAAGGAAATGGCACACCACTCCAGTATGTTTGCCAAGCAAACCCCAAATGGGATCATGAAGAGTTGGAAACGACTTAACAACACCAACAAGAATGAGATAGACACATCAGAGAAACAAGCTCTGGTATCACAGCTTCTCCTCCCCAAACTGACATGTGCTGTATATGACCAACACAGAGAACACAACATGGAGTTTACATACGACTTCTACCGAAAACCATGAGCGTGCCCACATCGCACAATGTGAGGGGCAGAGATAGCCTTTACAAGTGCAGGGCTATCTTCATGTCACAAAGAAGCACAAGGGATGGACTTCAGCAGAGAGGCACTGGACGGTATATGTAATTTATCCTTTTTAAGGTCATCTCACACAACAGCAATTGTACCCTGCTGTAATGCACTGGGGCCTAAATTAAATGAAGCTATACAGTTCATACAAGTCATTTAATCTCTCTGGGCCTCAGTTTCTTCATCTGTAAAATGAAAGGGCTGGACTATATTTTCTCTCAGGTCCCAAAGAGCACCAATATGTTATGTGGAGGTTTGCTCCCAGCAAACATTTTATGCTCTAAGGTTCCATCTAGACATCAAATTCCATAGCATTGGACTTAAAATCTAGAAGACCTGAATTTCCTGACCCAGATATTCAACTAGCTGTTTAGGGAACTTTACCCTGGTCAAGTCACTTAATGTCAGCTTAGTTTCCTTATCTGTAAAAGAAGAAGAATAGAGCTATTTGAGCATCAAATGAGAGCATGTGTAAGGTATTTTGCAAACCTTAAAATACTATATAAATGTGATTATTATTATTATTATTACAATACCAACACCATGGGGGCCACAGCTCCCTAAAACTCTTCCCTCTTCTCCCCTCCTTCTCATTTCACATCACTCATACATCTTCCCCAACTATCTTTTGGTTATCACTCATATCAGCTGAAGTGGGGGGGCCTTCTCCTTGCCAAGTCCAACCTCCTTACATGTAATCTTGATTCTACTGCCTGCTATGTTCTCCATCTGATTATCCCCACTATCATTTATTGTTGTTGTTAGGCCATTCAGTTTTGTCCATCTCTTGGCAACCCCACCTGGGGTTTCCTTGGCAAAGATACTGGAGTGGTTTGCTATTTCCTTCTCTAGCATATTTTACAGATGAGGAAACTGAGGCAAACAGGGTTAAGTGACTTGCCCAGGGTCACACAGCTAGTGTCTGAGGCCAGATTTGAACTCAGGTTTTCCTGATTCCAGACCCGATTCCCTTCACCAGCTAGTCACCCTGTGTGCATGGCACATAGTGCTTAATAAATTATCGGGGACTTACTGACTGACTATAGCTTCCTGTGCCCCCAAGTTCTATTAGATCAAAAAATAAGTAAGCATTTCTTAAGCTTACTATATGCCAGGCATTCATTCTTCCAATTCTTACCAAATGTTCCCTGCACACCAAATAAGACTTCATTGTATACTTACTATACCTTCCAAATAACAGCCAGTGTCTTCTTCCACCAAATCTTTTGTACGCCAGCAACATTCCTACCCTCTGGCACCCCTAAAAATCCTAGTTGAAATGCCAGTGTAATTCATCACTCCCCACATCAGCTGATCCTGTTGCAATGAGAGCAATGTCAGCCTTACCTTGCCCTAACTTCCTGATGTGAGGCTAGATGGGCCAAGGGGCTAGAGGGAACACAGAGCCTGGATGCCCATAAGCCAGCCTCTAGACATCATGCCAGTGCCTGAGTTGAACATCTGCCTGTCTTACTACACTTTTTATGGAGCTGTTGGGAATCCCTCAGTAACTGTTTAAGAAACACATTGTCATCACCTCTGGAAAGAAGAACTCTCTCTGCCTTTCCCCTTTGTAAGACTCAGCTTCTGTCAAAGAAGGAAGCCTTCATTCAGTCCCCCTATATCCAATCTCGAAGCAGACTGATCATTTTCATGCTGGATCATTTTCACAGAACCATAGAATCTCAGAGTTGGAGGGGACCCAGAGGCCTTCTAGTGCAGCCCATATTGGGTCTTTGCAATGTTACCAAGTGGCCATTCAGGCTTTGTTTAAGTGATGGGGAACTCACCACCCTCTGAGGCTGCCCATTCTATTTTGGGGTAACCCGAAATTTTGGGAAGTTTTTGTGACCTGGGCTCTAAATTTTCTCATGGCCAAGCAGGAGAAAGCTAATTCCTTTTCCCCATGACAGCCCTTTAAACACAGACAATGATCATGACTCTCGATCCCCAAGTCTTTTCTTCTCCACCCTGAATTGTCCTGGGTGACCTTCTTTTGACTCTCTGGTTTGTGATTGCCGCTGACCACGATATTACAAATGTGATCTGAGCAGAGCAAAGGGCACTGGGACTCTCCCCTCCCTCATTCTGCATGCCTTCCTAGGGCAGCTAGGTGGCGCAGTAGAGTACCAGGCTTGGAATCAGAGACATGTCTTTATGAGTTCAAATCTGACCTCAAATACTTACTAGCTGTGTGACCCTGGGCAAGTCACTTAACCCTGTTTGCCTCAGTTTCCTCATCTGTAAAATGAGCTGGAGAAGGAAATGGCAAACCACTCCAGTACCTTTGCCAAGAAAACCCCAAATGGGGTCTCGAAGAGTTGGACACAACTGAAACCACTCAACAGCAGCAGTTCTTCTCTCTTGCATCCATCAATGGGAGATTTAAAAGGAAAAGCATGGACTTTCTAGAAAACCAAGCCAAGGAATGATCCATTTCCAGGAGGATGCAGCAACGATGGCCTATAGCTTTCTTATTCTGGATGTATTTTATAAAAATACGTTAGACCTCTAAATGGCACAGTGCATACAGCATCAGCCCTGAAATCAGGAGGACTTGATTTCAAATCCCACCTCAGACACTTATTAGCTGTGTGACCCTGGGCAAGTCAATTAACCTGATTGCCTCAAAAAAAAAAAAATCTTGCTCTGGAAGTATTTTGTGAAATACATTAGACAGGTAGGTGGTACAGTGGGTAGAGCACTGAGCCTGAAGTCAGGAAGACTTGAGTTTAAATCTAGCCTCAGGCATTTAGTATTGTGTGACCCTGGGCAGGTCATTTAACTTCTTCAATTTCTTAAACTGTAAAATGGGGGCAATAATAGCATCTACTTCACAGTGTTCTTGGGAAGATCAAATAAGATAATATTTGCAAAGAGCTTAGCACATAATAAGCAGATAGTAGCTATCATGTGTTAGAGGAGACCCTGGATTTCCCAGAGCTGGGGTCAGGGAAGCACCGGTTCTGGTAAGCCCTAGCAATTCCAGGAAAACCTTTGACCACAGGTCTTCCTTAACCTTTTGTCTGTTGTCCAGGTGCCATCCAAAGTATGGAACAGCTCAGAAACTGAAAGCTGGCCACCAAGGGATATGGCTTTTGGCCACAGCAATTCATGGAAACTGTCTGTTAGGGCTCTTGGGATTAGGAGATCTGGATTTAAATCTCAACTCTGATACTCAGTGCCCACGTGACCCTAAGCAAATCTTAAAATGCTATATAAATGCGAGGTCCTTACCAGTGCCCATCACACAGTACATGCTTAATAAATGATAGTTGAAGGGGCAGCTAGGTGGCACAGTGGATAGAGCCCTGGAGTCGGGAGGACCTGAGTTCAAATCCGGCCTCAGACACTTGACACTTACTAGTTGTGTGACCCTGGGCAAGTCACTTAATCCCATTGCCTAGCTAAAAACAAACAAAAAAAATGATAGTTGATTGACAATACCAAAAAGTCTTATGCCCATTTTACAGATAAGGAAACTGAGGCTCAGAGAGGTGGGTAAAGTTACCTGCCACAGGTCCAACTCCTAGTAAGTAACAGATCAGGGAATAGAATCAAGGCCTTGGTCCAAATCAATGGTTCTTTCTACCTCATCACTCTCGGGAAATTAAAATGGGGGAGAGGAGAGAAAAATGTGAAGAGAGGAGAGTCCATAGAAATCTCTGAGCCTTTTAAACAAATCCCTCAATCATCTAGGTTTGGGAAGACAGGGAAAGTGACCAAAGACCCAGAGTTGGAACTCAACATGCTGATTCCAAATTGGAAAGTGGTGAGTGAAGAAGAAGGGATAGCATTTATCTCTCATACTTGAAAAGAAATATCCTCTAATGATAATAACAGGTCATATTGCTATTGCATTTTAAGATGCAAAGCGCCTTCCTCATAATAATTCTTGGAAAAGAGCTCTAGATTTGAAGGCAGAGGACCTGAGTTCAAATCTCAGTTTTTCCACTTCCTATTTGAATGGCCATGAACAAGTACCTTCCTAACTAACAATTGGGAGGATAAA